ACTGTTGTATTGACTAATCAAGCAAAAACAGAAAAAAACCCACCCCACCAGGATGGCGGATCTTGTTGATTTGTGCATTTAATCAAGAGCACGTTAAATAGGTCATGGAATCATTTTGCCTTCCCCTGATATAAAGCAAAAATTCATCTGTTGCTTGTGCAGGAACCTCCAAAGCAAGAAGCAGAAACAAAGAAACAACAAAGAAACAACCAAAAAGAATTACAGAGAGTAAATTAAATTTCACTGTAAATCTTTGTTTGACAAAATGCACATTGCTGCAGAGGATTAGAAGGAGATAGCATCAGTCTATTAGCTCAGAGATTAAAGTAAAAATGTTCTTCAAAATCCTATCACATTTATTTCTTTGCAACCAAAGTTGGTGATTTAGCGTTATGGTCACTGAATCTTTTTGGCTTTTTATTTTATTTTCCTTTGGTCTTTAAGTTATAAAGTTTATAGTATCTGCTTGATATAGTTCATTTTAACGTCAAGAATTTGCAATTTACATGAGGCAGAGAAGATAATTCTACAATGCACACACTTTTCTGATTAACTGCGTGTGACTTAAGTAGATCTAAGAAATGTGTTTTAACGAGTGTTTTGAAAGACCTAAATTCAGCCAGGCTTTATGATGCAGAAATTATTTTATTTTTTTTTAACCAGTCTAATTTCTGATAATCAGTGCAGTTCTTTGTTGTGCAAGGTTATTACCAGTGGCAGGCCTTTGCTAAGGAAGGGAGCTGGGAGGAGGGGACATAAAGGCAGTGTGGGAGCAAGTTCTGGCGGAAAATTTATGCCAAGGAGCGCCTTGTTAATTGTTCAAGAAAATCTTGTGGGACCGGGGTCTGAGAATTCTTTTGATGAATATGTAAAGTGCACCATTCTGAACACAGATGACTAACCTCACAAACACAGTGTAGCTACATTGGCTTCACTCCACAGGTTTCCTTTGCACTTTTTTTTCAGAGACAATTAGCAGAAATTACCTGTATAGGTCCACTTTCTTTTGTCTTCTAATTTAACAAGCCTTTTTAATCACCCATACCTTGAGTATCAGATATTTGAATAATGACATCCAATCCTCCATCCTTTCATGAAGAGGTCCATCTCCTTTCAATCACTGGAATCATGTGGTGCTGCATGAGAGAACATTAATTTTTCTGAAGATTTTTTTTCCTTCGTGTCTTATGCTCTGCCTGTCTGAACTACTTCAGCTAGAAGTAGAAGAAGACTCTATTTTAAGAAAAGATCAATAAATCTCTTCATAAGTGGAAATGTTAGAGGGTTATTCCAGAACATTTCAGCAGTATCTGCTAATTTCTGTTCTTTGCATCATGTCCTCTGTAGGCTTTGAAATTAATTTGTCACTGTGATATTTCTGTGATATTGGACACAGCCATACAGAAACAAGATGCATTTCTATTGTTTGTTCTTCATAATGGTATAAAGTGCAAATCATCTTTGTCAGTGGCTTCATATTAACAAAGATGCTACTGCTTTAAACATCAGGTTTAAATGTCCTGTATAGATAAATGAATCTATAGAAGATAGTTCTGTCCTCATCTTTGCAGGTCTAGCTTTAAGTTGTAAAAGTTTTTTAGTAGTTTCATAATAGAGGAGTTTGCTCACACTCATTTATGGGACAAATGAAAATGATACAATAGAGATATGTAAAACAAATAAAAATGAGAAATGGAAAAAAGCTGTGGGAATTTTGTGTGTTCAGTTCAGAGAAATATAGAAAGTATGAGTGTGATTGTAAAACTGGAGCACATAGCTTCAGTCCCTACCAATAAACTCGTCAAGAATCACTTTTAACAGATATTTACGTCAGGATTTAGAAACCTCTCCTGGATATTAGGATATGTATTGAAGCAATGGGCCAGACTTAAATCCATCCTTTTACATAGTGAATAACAGTAGTTAATATTGCCATTTTTCTATTTCCAGCTATGTATATTGCCTTCACCCAATGCAGGATAACCTTGTGACCATCTGGAATTTGTTTCCTTTTCCATGCTTCCTGCTGTGTCATCAGTTAAGTTTTTGGTGGCTCCAACACTGGAGTCCTTACTGGGACTTTCTCATGCCTTGTGTTGGGCATCTGGCTCTGGGTTTTCAATTTCACACCATTCACTGAATGTTTAGGCCTTTCAGTGCATTCCTTGCTGGTACCTAAGTGCCAACATAAATTTTTAGGACCAAACACTGCATCTCTGTCCTAAGTACACATTTTTTAAAGGAAGTTTTTCTTCTCTCTTTGCTTCTCTTGACATGAAACGTGCTTGAGCAAAGGTGGGCTGTATTCATTTATTTGACCCTAAAATAGTGCAAGAAGCAAAACCTAGGAAATGCTTTCCATTTATCTTCTCCATGTACCTCAGAAAGAATTGGTACTGAACAGCCAATATCTCATGTTAAGTACAGATTGATTCTTGGAGACTAATTGGTGAGATTTATTGACACTAGAGAATTTGGCTAGTTATAATAGATTCTATTCATTATACAGTTGATAATCCAATGAGTAGCTAATTCTAATCTTCACTGTTAGTTATGTCTTTAAGTCTGACTTTCTATAGCTCACATAGAGATGTTTAAAAACAATTAACCTTAATGTTTTTAAGTGGAATATGAGATTTCAGCTATTAAACTTCAATTCTGTTTTAACTGCTTCAGGGCATTAGACGCATGGCTACTGAATTCTGGCACCTAATTAGCACAGGATATCAGGATCTTCAACAAAGAAACACAAGGTCTGATTTTTAGTTTTATGCGTATGTGGCTTTTCTATTATCAGTAACCCCATCTATGAATGAGGTTCCTTTCTTTTCATTAGTTTCTGAATCAGACTGTAATTTCTTGTTGTGGTGAAGCACAGCATAGGCCAGTGTTTAATTAAAAATTGCAAATGTCCTGATGACATGTGCCTGCAGATAGAGGATTCATTTTAGCACATTGCCATAAAAAAAATGATAGCTGGCTTTTCAGACAAAGCCCTTTTTTTAGGGCTCAGAAATTAGGCGTGCATTTCTACAGAGTTTGAGAGAGATTTCAAAGCAGATCAAAGTTAAAGGGTTTCCTGATGGTTCAGCTTTGTAACACTAAGCCTGCTGGGTGTTCTGCAAGGATCCATTGTACCCATCCACTCTGAAAGCACAGCCACAGCTTTGCATGCATTACACCAGCCCCGTTTTCAGTCGGGTTTTACAAATTGCCTAATCCAGGTTAGGCCTTTTCTGGAAGCTCTTTTATCCTTCTAACATTTGCATAATGATCTCAATACTGTAATTCTTGTGTGACAGTGTGTTGAAGCTCTTTCTGATTTACATTAACGATAGTACAAGAATAATGAAATACCAAATTGACTTCATCGTCTTTCACAACTGAGAATGCCATAAATTTCAATGTTTAAAAAAAGTGTGGGACCAAGTTCACTCCTGGTGTAATCACTATGACATCTCTGGAACTAGGTGAGGTGTGCACTGACTTTTTCCTGCTTAAGTAAATATTAACTCATGAGGGGGTAGATTCTATTAAAGACCTACAATTAAAAAATGTGAACTTGTCACATTGGTACTCTGACAGAATAATAGCTTTTTTCCCCTTAAAATTTTGATTAAAACATGATAATCTCCCATGAAAATTCTCAGCTAATCATCTGAAATAAAACATAGATGAGGATTGCATGAATACTTTATGTAAATGGCAAGGAAGTAAGTCTCTGTTTTGAGGCATTGTGTTAAAATTTGCAGGACTGCACAGCAGGTAATAGCAGGCTGAATTCCCATTTCTGTCCTCCTGCAGACCTTACAATGAGACAGCATATGAGCTGAAAGGTGATCCCAAGCAGCCTTGCAAAACCAGTTCTGAGATTATGAAAATTAGGGGTGGTCTGGCAGATTTGTTCAGTGGAAAAAAGTCTTCCATGGTAATGCAGAAAAAAATTCATCTCCACTTCTACAGAATAATAGACTAAGAAACTGAATCCCAGGGTGTGATGTATGTATGTAATGTGTTCATGTGTGTAACTTGGGTGGGTGGTTTTTATAAAATAAGGAAAAAAACCCTTTTTAACAACTGTCTCTCAATGCAACCAATATTATCTGATGGCTTGTGATGAGCAGGTCATGTTAATATATGCTTTTATTTTGTGCTACCTTCTTATCAATGATTAAATGTGTGAAAGAAAACAATCATGCAGATGACACTTTGTTTCTCTGAGGAGTAGTAAAAACCCCATATATCATATGCTGAGTTCTATCAGAAGTTTTCTAGTCCTTTTTATTTATTGTGATTAAAGGAGACAAGTCTAGGTTAGCAAAAAGGTTTACACTTCAAATATTTCAAATGGATATTTCAAATGGGTTTTCTTCATAAAGCATATTCTGTGACCTTTAAAAATGATAAAAATGATAAAAATGTTGTTCCACCAGAAGCTGGTGAATGTGTGATCGAGTATTCCAAAGTCCCAATTTTGTGGCACATTATGAACTAATTAGAAGAGAGACTGTGAGAAGCCATAAAGTTATTAAAGTTGCAATGATGGGAGACAGTAGCTGACTCCTCAAATTATCTTTGCAGCAAGCAGCTCAAGGAATTTTCCTGCATGAGCATGGATGGAGCACTTCACAGCCTCGAGTAAGCACCTCATCCCAGTCTGGCTCCACAGGGGTGCTTCATCCTGTGCTTGAGCATCACGCAAAAGAGCAGTTGAGATGAGAAAGATGCCGTTCCCTCTCAGCAAACAGAGAAGCTGCAAGTTTGGATTTCTTCCTGTAGCAAATTGTAGGGAAATGGCAACTACTAATGATGGTTTTTCCCTTGAGGAGCCCCAGTGCTGTGCTGTAATTTTGGATGTTACAGCTGTATTTAGATGCCAAGGCCTTCAGCCAGGAGACCATCCTTGTGCCTGTGAGAAAGGCTTCTCCTGTGCTGGCAAGGCTACTGCACAGTCCTGTGTTGTGAATAGTAAATAATCACCCTGTTTTCTCTATTTTCAGGAGATTTGTCCTCACCAAGATGAGAGTCATTCCCAAAGGAGCTTTCACAGGACTTGTTGACCTAGAGAAAATGTATGTATTGTGTTAATATTTACTAGGAAATAACTATTTTACTCCAAGCAGCCCTTTTTGATTGCAACTCCTTTTACAGCCTGTGAGCAAGTTCCTATCACAGAGCTTCATATAGTTTTATCTTTCTGTTTAAAGAAAAAATTGAATGCTTTTTTTATTGACACCTTCCAGAACAATGTTGTCATAAATACATTTTCGTATCAGCATTGGGCAGTCTTCAGTCAAAGGGCTGGTTGAGCATGGAGTGTCATTGCAGTTAAATACAGTGCCATAGCAGAAGATCACAGGAAACTGAATATTTTGTGAGTTTTGGAATGAAGCAGTTGGAAAGATTAGGGAGGAAAGAGCTCCTGTTAATAATAGGTCAGCTAATTCTCTTTTCAGTAATGAATTAACTAAATGGGATTGTTTTGTGCGTGTTCAAAGGCAGCTGGCAGGATGTGTGAGAGAATTTTCTTACAGGCGATAGACCCAAAAATCTTAGTACACAAAGAGTGTAAGCAGCTCATTTCTGTGAATTTTAGTGATCAGCCTGGAGGTACAATTATGAGCATCTTTGATGAACAGATGTATCTTACATTCATTAGTATGCTATTGTGAAGGGATTGCAGCTCCAGCACTAGAAGGGAAAACCCTTAGTAACATGTTCCCTACTTCTCTTTAACAACAGAAAATCTATGGCTTAGGTGGTGCTAGCACCAGAAATTATAACCCTCACTGTCCAACCTGAACTATTCTGCCTCATGTATGATTTTTTTTCTGAAATATTTCATATATGGGCAAATCACATTTTGCTTAGAAACAGAACAGCACTTGCACCCTGACAGGAGAGGATCGCAAACAGGCTGTTCACCCAAGAGCAGTCTGAATGGGAGTGGGGAAATGTACTTAGAGTGCAGTACCTTTTTCAGTGCTGTGTGTGCAATGGCAGAACTCCAAAGGACATTTCTCTGCATCATTTCTACCCTTCTCCCTCGTACTCTTGCATGAATAAGTGATTTAGCAAGAAGGTGGTGAGGGCTCATTTTAGCCTCGTCCTTATGGAAAATCATTGAGCACTTTGGACTGTGAAGTGGGTTGCAAAGTGCATTGTGAGCTGCTTCTGTTATCTTTAATTACTCAGAAACCATATGTCAGATGTGTATGAAGGCATTGAATGGGATGTTCCTAAGTGGTGACTTATTGTTAACCAAAAAATTATATATGGAAATGGGCTCAATCTGAAAATACATCCATCTAGTAGTACATGGAGGAGAAATGGGGACAGTCAATTTATAGTAAAATTTCCTTGAAAATAAAACTGTGATAAATATGTAAATGAGGCCAATCAACATCAACAAAACTGTGGTATTTGCAGATGATATAGCAAACAGATAAAATTTGAAATAGCTCACAAATCCTAAACCTAACCCATAAAACATTCATCAGAAATATTCTTGATAATGTAGGGACAAAAAAAGTGGGTAATCAAATAATAGATTTGCATATAAAAACACAGTCTTTGTATGAAAGCCTTTTTACTCTTGCAAGATCATGCACAGAAAGAAAGATTAAGCAAACTGTAGCCTATTTAAGGAAAACAGCTATTAATAATGTGATACCTCCATATGGTAAAATGCGGATGGCCTGATGTATACAAATGAGACGCTTCAATGTAGTGTATGTGTGTGCTCTCCTAGAACTGAGTAGGCTAAAAATGAAGAGTGACAATATTTCCTGAACGTGTTACTGAAGAAAAACTGAATCTTCTTCAGTCCAGCATAGCTGTACTCGTGATTTTCATCACTAATACATCATTCCTAAGTGTGTTTCTGGGAACAGGAAGGTGTTAAAGGCCAGAATTTGGAGGGAAATGGTGGTCTTTGGAATCATCCCTAGGGAATGAGGCAGTTGATTACAAGTTGGAAATGCAATGGTCAGAGGCCATCTTGGGCATAGCAGACTTTGGCCTGTTTAGGGCACTGGTTCGGAGAGTCCTTTGGGACAGAGTCCTGAATAACAAAGAAGTTCAGAAAGGCTTCAAGAAGGAGATCTTAAAAGCACAGAAGAAGTGTCTTTATGAGCTGAAAGATGAGCTGTTGGGGAAGAAGACCAACCTGGCTAACATGGAGCTTTCGCAGCAACCCAGGGAAAAAATAGTTTATGACCTTTGGAAAGGTCAGGCAGCTCAGGAAGAATACAAGGATGTCATTAGGTCATGTAGAGAGAAAATTAGAAAGGCAAAAGCTCAGTTAGAATTCAATCTGGCCACTGCTGGGAAAGGAAATAAAAGGGGGGTTATAAATATATTAACGACAAAAGAAGGGCCAAGGAAAATCTCATTCCTTTAGCGAACCCAGGGGGAAATATTGACACCAAGGATGAGGAAAACACTGAGGTACTTAAGGCTTTCTTTGCCTCAGCCTTTAACAGAAAGACTGGTTATCCTCAGAACACCTCCTGAAAGGAGTTTGTAGTCAGGTGGTTTTTGGCCTCTTCTCCCAGGCAAATAGACAAGAGGAAATGGCCTCAAGGTGTGCCAGGGGAGGTCAAGGTTGCACGTGGGAGAATGTCAGAATTTCCAGAAAGGGTTTTAAGGCATTGGAACAGGCTGCCCATGGAAGTGGTAGAGTCACCACCCCTGAAGGTGTTCAAGAAATGACTGGACATCACAGGTTTACTTGACATGGTGGTGTTGGGTCAAAGGTTGGACTTGATGATTTTGGAGGTCTCAGTGATCCTTGAGGGACCCTTCCAACTCAGAATATCCTGTGAAATATCTATCTTTTCCAACCTTAATGATTCTATGATTCTTGGTTAAATCAGAAAGGAGTCCTCCCTAAGAATCCTAATTCTGTTATATTTCCCTTCAGAGTGAATTAAGGCTTTTGAATTTTCTGGTTTTCAAAGAAAAATAATTCCTTGATATTTTCCTGCTTTCACTATGCATTTTAGTATCTTCCCAAACATTCAGACTGCCGAGACCTTTAAATAGATGTATTTTACCAAAAAATGTCAAATAATTTTCAGTCAGAGTATCCAGGCAATGTCTCATTTTTTTTCTATTTGGACTGTCCAAGAGCTTTCCAGAATGGACACTAATGACCATGATTCATAAAGGAAAAACTAGTGTGACTTGGAAATGTTGGCATGGAGGTGTTGATCTGACCTCCCTGGTGAACATTCAGTTTAATTACCAAGACAAAATCTTTTGGGTTTCACCTGATTTTTTTTTTTTTTTTAAATTTGGAAATGTTGTCATTGGAATATTTTTGCCTTTTTTTTTTAAGAGTGAGAGCCCATTTGAACCATTTTCTAGTTTGTCATTATCTTCTCAACCATCTAAATTCCTTCAGATGCTGACAAAACATGAAATGACCATTCTGCAGACTGTCATATGGTGCAACAGATTTCCTGAAGTTTGATCAGGGAGAAGGATCTTTTCTTCTTAAATAAAATGTTTAAAGTCATGAAATAAACTTACAGTCTCTAATTATCATAGACTTCTCTTACTAAACATGAAACTTGAATTTTCCTACAGAAAACCCTTTCAGAATCCCACAGGCCTGAGGAGCAGCCTTGCCATCTTGTTGCCAGCAGCTCTCTGACTTCTGCACAACTCTGGCTTCATGTTAATTTAGCAAATAGGTGTTCAGGAAAGCAGATTGGTTATTTTTGCCACATGTTTAGTCTACTCTTAGGTCTTGGTCAACTGGAACGTGGCAGTTCTTCTGGACTTCTGCTTAACCAACTTGTTTACACTCCCAGAACTAATTAACCCTCCAGTTACTAAATTAAAAAGCAGTCCCATGCAGGCACATACCTGGCAAAATCAATCTGACATGCTCAGCAGCAGCTGTGTCATTCTCAACCTGCACAGAAAGAACTTAATTTGGAGTAGAGACAGACAGAAGCAATACTAAGTGTCTCTTTTTCTGTTTCTGAGTTTCCTGCTGTTACTACGAGGTGGCAAAGTAGATTTGTGAATCTTGATCTAACAAGGCTTGATTTGGACATTATATTTATAGGAAGTTTGATCTGATTGTGTTACCCTGTGCAAGCAAAAGAGGCTCCATGTCTGTACCCTGAGGCGCAATCCCCTTGAAAATTCATCATCAGTTATTTGTTCTTTTTGAAGGGTATAAGCTAAAACAATGCTTTGGTTCATCATTGGGTCTCAAACCCAACCTATGTGCAGCCCAAGGAAACTCAGCTGTGAGGATGAAGTACTTCTTGAACTAGATGTCACAGAGGGAAAAAAAGCACCATTACCGTCCCTGTTTTTATTTTGGAGTAATTGGAGGGAAGCATTTCTTTAACAGATGCTGGCAAAGTCACATTTTAAGAGAATGAACTGTGGTATGGATAACAGAGCTTGATGAGCTAAACCCATAATGACCTCTGGAGATCATGGAAAGCTAACTGACATTCCTGGAAAGGAAAGTTTTCTGTCCATGGAAGACAACAGCTATCTACTTCTTCCTCATGAATTCATAGAGAAAAATAGCCCTGAATCGATTAACTCAATTACTTAGTGTATTCAAGATTTTCTGGCTTTCTCTTTGTTGAGACTGTGGTTCCAGTGACAGTTCCTAAGGAAAATGCTGCTGCTCTGTGACCTAGACTCATGAGCACCAGCTTATTTTGCAAACAACCAACATGACGGATGATGCTAAAACCTCTCCTGTTTGCCCCTCTATGCTAAAAGGCAAGTCTCACTTTCCTCTGGCTCAGTTGGATCACACTGAGTGATCACATTGATATCACCTTTTTTTTTTTTTTTCTAAACTCAGAGGGGTTACTTGTGGACAATGGAGACCAGAAGACAGAATTTTGAACCAAGGGGTGTCTCTCTTTCTGTGGCTGGGGAAGGACCAGAATTCTTGACTGTATGTCTCACCTGGAAAACTTGGCAGAATGCAAAGACTTCACTTTCTCTAGCAAGTTACAACAACCTGGCAAATCGATGCATTCATCATCCAGACCTTCTTCAGCAGTAGCCATCAGGCTGTCTGGGCTAG